TTCCTGCAAACTTTAACCCAGATGTGCCCAATGGCCTATATGTAGTACATCTCAAACTTGTCGATTCTTGTTGAAGGGAGTCTGTAAAAATCGATTTATTCGTTCGTTTTGGTCAGTATAACGTTGTTCGGCTTAAGGTGCAGCAGCGTGTCGTAGTTCTCTCACAGATTGCTAGATTAGTTCGGATCTAATTTCGGTATTTCGAGAAGATGGCTGAGTATGGCGTCAGGTTTGCAAGGTAAGCTGTATTTTGATTATTTACATTGGACTGAATTTCATACAAAGGAGGAAATTTTTACATATAAAGAAGCCAGAAAGTAAATATGTTTGAGGCAATAAATATTATTGCCTATCTTTTTCACAAATTAGGGATAAATATAACCGTCCTATATAAAGTACATTGGGCAAATGCGGTACTGCCACTTTTTTATACTACCCTGTCCTTAGTGGCTACGCATCTATGAAATAACATTATTTCGCTGCATATTTTGGTACTACGGGTTTTTTTTGTTACAGAGGGTTTTCATTACATGAAGCCCTAGCTATGATAGAAGACGACGAAGTGGAGGCTGATACTATCACACTTTTTCCACCTAACAATGCTTCAGAAAATCTTTCCGATGAAGATTCGGGCGAAGAAGACAATGTCGATATAAATAATTTACCAGCGTCTCAAATGCAGAGTGAAGTGGAAGTGTCTTCTGGATACCAAATAAATGATGGATGTGATATGGACTCAGAAGACGATATACCCCTAAGTCAATTGGCAGACGCAATCAAAGTAACACGTAAACAGTCAAAGAAGAAAAAACACTATAACTATGTGAAAGAAGATTTACAAACAATAACTAGTGGTAGTTTTGAGGAACTTTTTGATCATGACCAATCTGAATGTTCTGCCTTCTCTCTCTTTAGTTTGTTTTTTGATGACGAGCTTTTTGAAAAGATTACAGACGAAACAAATCGGTATGCGTCACAAAAGAATCAAATGATGCGAAATGAAATGTTTTGTAGGGGTGCTTCTTTTGAGTGGTATTGTTCCTCTTCCACGACGCAGAATGTTCTGGGAACGTTCTAAAGATTGTCACAATGAGATTGTGGCTGAAGCGATATCGAGAAATAAATTTGAATTTATTTTGTCCCATATACATTTTCAGGACAATAGTTTCTTAGATAAATCTGATAAGTTTGCTAAGGTCAGACCACTTTTTAGTCACCTGAATCAGAAGTTTCTGAAACATGCACACTGTGAAGAAGACCACAGTGTCGACGAGGCTATGATACCCTACACAGGAAGACATGGCTGCAAACAGTATATCCATGGTAAGCCCATACGTTATGGCTTCAAATTCTGGGTTGGGACTACCAGACAAGGATATATAAATTGGTTTGAGCCTTACCAAGGAGCGTCTACAAACATTAGCAAGACCTACAAAGATCTTGGGGTCGGAACAGCTGTTGTGCTGGAGTATGCGGACGTTCTTAGGTCAAAGTGGTCGAAACCGAGGTTTCATTTATTTTTTAAAAAATTTTTTTCTTCTGTTGTGCTGGTAGAAAAACTAAATGAAAAGCAATTATTTGGAACTGGGACTATGCGAGAAAATCGTATTCCTGGTAGCACGTTATGTGACAGCAAAAATATGAAAAAACAAGAACGTGGCCAATATGATTATATGAAAATTGAAGACTGTAATATAGGTTTTGTCAAATGGAACGATAATAACATAGTCACTTTTTGTTCCAATGCAGTTGGTGTCAATCCTCTGCATTATGTGAAAAGATATTCACAAAAGGACAAAAAGTTCATTCAGGTAGAGCAGCCACATGTAGTCCATTTATATAATAGGAGTATGGGAGGGGTTGATCGTTCTGATCAAAACATAAGCCTCTATCGTACCGCTATAAGAGGAAAAAAGTGGTACTTCCCTCTCATAACTCACTGCATAGATATGGCAGTGCAGAATGCTTGGCAAATGCATAAAACATATGGCGGGACAATGGACCATTTAACTTTCAGAAGAGCTATTGCAAACATTATGTTAGTTCAAAACAAGAAAGGGTGTGTGTATCAAACAGGACATGCATCTCAATTCTAAAATTTGGAGTTGGGATATGACCGCCTGGACCACTGGGTAGTACCACAAGAAAAGCAAACGAGATGTGCAGCTTGTTATCAAAAAACAACAACTCGCTGTCAAAAATGTAATAAAGGGTTGCATGTCAAGTGTTTTTTCATGTATCATACTAAACCAAAATAATGTCAATGTAGCATAGCAAGTGCCCAATGTCCTATATATAGAACGCCTTCAAAAACAACTTTTTTGAAAAAAAAAAATGCAGTTTCCGAAGCCTTAGTTGTGTTTCTGTTCCCTATTAATGTCACTTAAATGCTAAACCTTGAACAAATCGGAGTCACGACAACTTTGGGCATATCTGGGTTAAACTCATAGTCAGATACATATAGATAGACAGATATAAAATGTAAGAAATGTGTAAAAATTGAATTAAAGTGATGAATCTTAAATCAGCCAAGGCTATACGTATACATCCATAAGCAATTTTATACATTTGTACATAAGGGTGTTGCTTAATGATATGCGAATATTTATGGGTGTGAATCTACATGAAAAATTAAAGTCAGTTTGCTTTATAAACTATGGTCCAAAAATGTTTCCTTACAAAAACTCGGGGTGTTGAAGTTTTAGGAAAAAAATGGAAATTAATTAAAATTCTCAGAACCGCTTGAGATATTTCACTGATATTTAGTACGTAGTACAAGTTGATGAAGCTGCATATTTTTCAGTGCAAATATAATTTTTAGCTTTAACAGTGGCGTGCGTGCGGGTATTGACTTCGATATTTTTCAAAAAAAAAAATGGTACGCCAATGGTATTTTGCCAAATAAAAATAATTTTTGAATACCCGTTCAATTAAAAACAAATGACTTGTCTTGAATTGTTTCTTTTTGATGCGCCATTTTTGAGTAAAAAAATAAAAACCGTTCTATTGTCTAACTTGCAAAATTATTATCAATTTAATTGGAAAAATTAAACACATTAGGGGTAATGAACAACAACATCTAACAACATAAATATAACACTAAAACCAACGAAATGATTACAAAAATTGATGACAATGCCCCCCTTCACTTAGTATGCATGCTTCCGCCTTCCTTCTCATGGAATTGCGCACTCGTTGAAATATCCCTGGAGTGTTTTTTATTCTATCACAAGCTGCAACTATTCTTTCTCTTAATTCCTCTACAGTGTTAATGGGACTTGTGTACACTAGTGTCTTAAGATAGCCCCACAAAAAGAAATCTAAACAGTTGAGGTCTGGGGACCTTAGTGGCCACTCTTGGGTCCAACCGCGGCCAATCCAACTTTTGGATAAACAGTTTGTAAATAATTACGAACCGCTACACTGAAATGCGCTGGTGTCTTATTACTGACGGAACATCATCAAGCAGCAAAGGCAAGTGTTGTTGAAGAAAATTGAGGTAAGTCTGTCCGTCAAGTCGTCCTGGCAGGAAGAATGGGCCAATAAAGTGGTTGCCCATAATTCCTGCCCATACGTTACAGAAAATTGGTGTCGGAAATGGGTTTCGGTTACGGCACAGGGATTTTCTTCTGCCCACAAATGATTATTGTGGAATTCCTGAATGGCATTTCGACAAAAATTAGCTTCGTCCGTGAACAGAATGATTGATTCAAATTGCGGATTTTGTGTAATTTTTTTAAGATACCACTGTCAAAACGTCACACGCCTTGGAAAATCAAAAAATCCACGGAAACTCTCCAAACAATTTGATGACAAATATTTAAGTGTATAGCGTTCTTCCTCGTACTCATTTCAGGATGTTCTTCGACTTCGTGCAGCTCTGCTTCCTCAATTTCATGTGTTCTCACACTTAGAGGTCTACCTTCAGATGTTCCTTTTGAGACAGAACCAGTTTCAACAAGACGACGGTTAATATTAGAAAAGGTTCGACTATCTGGCAAAGCACGATCGGGATATCTCTGGCTTGCTTGTCTGGGGCAGTATGTCATCAAAAGGAGTAGGAAAACTTCATTTTATTGATGGAAATGTGGATACAAACAAATACTTGGCAATTTTAGAAGAATCGCTTTTACCAGTGATGGAAGAATGTTTAACATCCGGTCAAGATTTTGTGTTTCAGCAAGATGGTGCAGCGTGTCATACCTCAAAAAGGCCATAAAATGGGTGGAAGAAAATAATGTACCACTTTTGAAATGGGTTTCTAGCAGTCCAGATCTGTCACTTATTGAAACTTTGTGACACGAGGTAAAAAAGTTTCTACGACAACATCCTGCTCGTACAATCACCGAACTGAGACAAAAGCTTCAAGAAATATGGGATCGTTTTACACCAAATATTTGCCAAAACTTGGTTAACACTATGCCCCAAAGAATTTCAGCCGTAATAAAACATAAATGTGATGTTACCCAATGGTAATCTTTCAATAGTTGCTTTGTTAACTTGGCGTATTTATTCGCACATTGTTTATTTTTTCAGATGTTCTATTAGTCATAGGTCTAAGTGATTTCAAATATGTATTTTTTACGACTAGAGTGTATCTAAAATGTTTTTGAGAAAATAAATTGTTTTAGTAGTAAATAGCTTCATCATGTTTAGTTTATAAATGCATATTTTGGTACAAATCTTGAAGTGGGCCAACTGAAGTGGAAAGGGGCTCGTATATATATATATATATATATATATATATATATATATATTCATATATAATATAAATTATTAATTAAGGAACACCCTGTACACTTATACACACTAAGCACAAGTGTATACTTTTTTTAGTATCTTATGTTTATTGGACACTACCGTTATTATTTATATGAGACTTTGTAATTAGACCAATAAACATTATTATTATTAAATTATTGTTAATTCCGCCTATACGTCTTTCACAAGTGGGTCCACTTTTAACCAGTAAACCTGATCTATAGTTTGTTCATACATACCTCCATCTCCTGGTCTACCGGATATTCACCACTCAAGGATCTTGTCACCAAAGTGGATGTTTTACTGGTCCTTTTCCTATAATGCGTGGGACAAGCATAAGTAAGGCTGCATGTTTGAAGGTCTGGATCAAAATTGGTAGCGATCGGACAAGTGAATGGAATAGGAGTTCCAGAAGCTGCGGAGCACTGATAAAACGTTTTACATGAAACGTCAGTGGGATTTTCAAAATTTCCAGGTCTTTCACAGACAAATGGTTGATACTGTTTGTAGAACCCTGAATCTGTTGATGATTTCGAGGTACTGTGGTGAACCTGCAACACACACACATATTAAAGATGATTTTACATTCGTCTTGATCCTTCAATGCACAGTAAAAGTAATTTTCGACCCATGACAGACTGCAAAAAAGCTTGATGGCATTTTTTTATACACAAGGCAGAAAATTAACAAAAGTTAAGGTTGCAGTAATTGATGTTGCAAAAAAATGGCTACTTCAGCTTCTGTTTAAGTAGTTACAGCACAGGGACGTTGCATAAGATCTTGGATAGTTAAACTTGGAAGTAGAAAAGTAGATCGCAATTAAAAAAAATGTATCTAACAATGAAGCTCTGAAGTGTATTACAGGAATAGTATAGAGCTAGGCCAAAATAATAGTGGGATATATAGACTAGGATCTTAAGAGGTATATCGTTGATTGGAATACCGCTATAATGTTCCGATCTCAAAAATCTGTAAAATATTTTTGGATTTCAACCATTCAGATATCACAAATCAAAAGCATCGCGTTTTAAGATCACTGTGACTCATCTTCTGAAAGCCATCATCAATCTTAAATTTTCAATTTGATAGAGTTCTTATTATTTTTACTACAAGATAAATATATAAATTCATTCCAATTCTGATTGGTTTAATTTATCTATATTTTTTATAATTTAGGAAGACTGTAACCAGTAGATAATTGGTCTGTGCAAGTTTTTTCCATTCCACTAACATTACAAGTCTAACCATTTCCGTTGCCAAAGAGCTATGCCACCCTCATTGTATACAGAAAAATTTGGAACATATGGAATATATCTAAGGAGTGCCACATCTATTTTTTCCAAAGTTCGAAACCACTTCGGATCCGTGGATGATATCCGCGATGTCGCCAAATCTACGGTTTTTTCAGAAACCGATAGCACCTTTTGTTTTCCTTATGGAATGCTATCCGTTTTATTCAATATTTGTATTTTACGAGAAATTCTGAATACTCTCAATTGAACATACTTTGACGTAGACCTCATACTTTTCGAAATATTCGCGGTCAAACATTAGCACTTGAACAATAAAAGGTGTTTTTTACTTGAGCAATGACCGAAATAAAAATTAATCTCGTCATTTCTGATATTCAAAAGTTCATTGAGTTTTATTAGTAGAGTGATTGAGAATGATTCATTTAACTGAAACCGAGAGAATAGAAATTCTAATGTTTCGGGATTATAGCGATCGTTGACGTACACAGCAAGAAGCTTGCGATATTTTTAAGGACAAATAGCCCAACCGGAATCCTTTAGCAAGGTCTACTGTTGGAAAAGTTTTGAGGAAATTTAAAATAGTTGGACATGTAAAGGATGCTCCATGATCTGGATGACCCAAAACAGCCACCGTAAACTTGGGTGGCTTTGGACACGCGCTATTTCGTTATAATAATACTTATGCGCGGAATAGTATTTTTTAATGATTCTATAGATTATAATGGACTCGAAAAAAATTTATACGTAATATATCTTGATTTTAAGTATTTGGAAAAAATTAAATAGAAAAATTTATGAAAAACCTGATTTTTTTTACGTCAAAAATGCGCAGCTTGAGAATGAGGCGACATCTATGACTTTCATGCAAAAATATACTATCATACAACCTTTAGGAAACTTTGTGAGCCAAGTGAGCAAACTTGCACCTATAGGGGGTTGGCGCTAGAGGGCGACAAAGTCGCCCAATACATTATTCGTTATTATTGGTCATCACATGTTAGCGTTGTTCTCGACCGGTAATGTTCTTTTTTCGTGATAAACTTTGCAGGTCCCATTCATTTCCAGGGAAAGTGGGTCGCTACAAAGGAGTCATAGAAAGCAGGAATTACAGGAATTATACTACAGCACAACTAGAAGAGGCACTTCGACTGATTAGATCAGGTGTAATATCACAAAGACAATATTCTACGAGATTCAAAATACCTCGAGGGACATTGCAGAATAAGCTGAAGGGAGTGCACAATGGACCTACTGGTGGCCAGACTGTGTTGTCAGTGGGGAAAGAAATCAAGGTTGGGTACCAGAAAAGAGAGAGCATTTTCAAAAAAATCAATGGCTTCATCAACATTGTTACGGGGAGGTCGGTAAATTACCCCAAAGGCAAGAGTTTGGCCACAAAATTTCAATTTAATCCACATATTCTCAACACTAGGAAAGTAGCCAATATGGTTGTCAATCTGTAATTCTTCACAGAGCAAACTATTTCTCACGTAAACGCCGACGCCTCCACCGCGACTTTCCCTATCTTTTCGATAGAATGTATATCCTTGAATATACAAAAGACTATCTAAGATGTTTGTATTGAGCCATGTTTCGGATAGAACTAAAATATCATAATCAGAATTTTCCAACATGTAGGCAAAACCAGATGGTGAAGGTACTAGAGACCGAACATTTAAGTAACCAAATTTAAAAGGTTTGTTTTTCTCTCATAATTTAGAATTAAATTTTGTATATATGATCCACTTCTCAAAATAAAACTCGTGATATGTATTGTGTTTATCAGTTGGATCATGATTTGTATCATATTGTTTGTTGTACTTGTGGGTAGCAGACACACAGTTACTATATTTTTTGGTTGATTGATTTCAGGAAGAAATGTCATGGCTTTCTCCACATTTTGAACATACTTTACAATTTTGACATTTTTTCGTTGAATGATTAAACCGTAAGCAATTTTTACATTGTGATACTATATTGTTGTCACAAACGATAATATTTTCAAATCCTAATAAAATTTTTCCATTGTTGTTATCAAAAATATATCTAAATAATTTACCTGCCACTTCAGCAAAAATAATGTAAAATTTTTTGTGCGCAACATAATTAATATGAGTAATGTATATATCTCCGTTAGCCGCAAAGTGATTTTGTTGTAAAAATATGTATGATACCTGGATGGAGCGAGCACCAGATGGAACACGTTATAATCGCTCAAAAAGCGGGTGGTTTGAGGGCCATATCTTCGAAGACTGGTTTGAACATTTAGTTCTTCCTGCTTTAAAGCATTTAGAGGGACCCAAAGTGCTGATTAGCGATAACCTTTCTTCGCATCTAAGTGTGCATGTCATAAACCTATGTTCCCAATATGACATAAAATTAATTTGTTTATCACCTAACACCACACATCTCAGTCAGCCACTTGACATCGCATATTTTCGGCCGCTTAAAATGGAATGGAGGCAAATCATAACGGAACTTATTATTAGAATCAGGAAAAGATAATTTAATAAGCGGTTTCGAAAAGGCAGGAATTTACCCTCTAAACCGAATGAAAATATTGGAGCGAATACCATCAAATGATAATATCGATCCCGATGTCTAGACAAACGTTAGTGCCGCTGTCATCGAACTACTTGAAGAAAGAAGATTTCCCGGTCCACCAGAACAAACTACAAGGAAAAAAGCTCACCATAACAGCAGGAAAGAGCATTTCAATCCTAGATTTGCAAAACGAACTAGTTGCAGGATCTAGTGGTGTTAAACAAAACATTTTAAACCGCAACAAAAAAACTAGAACAACAATTTCTAGTGATTCCGAAAGCTTTGTTGCTATGTCACTCCAATCGGAGAGAGAGCCTGACGATGACATTGAAAGTGCGACTAAATTCACACAAGAAAATACAAGCGAAAGCAACACATGCAAAGGAAGGAATGAAATAAAAATTGGGCAGTTTGTCCTATTTTTATATGAAAAACATAGTTATCCTGAGCAAGTTATTGAATTAAAAGAAGACGAGAAGTAATAAAAAATAAAATCCTTGACACCTAGTGGATTGTTGCAGTGGAAGTGGCCGAGTAAACATGACGTCATCTGGTACGAGGAGGAAGACATTTTACAGGTCATAGAGACACCTATTCCGTCCAAAAGAGCTTTCCTTAAAATTCCAGAAGTGGAAAATTATAATTTAGGTTAACCGTGTTTTATTATTTGCGTTTAAATTAAGTTTAAAACACTTTTTTGCATCTGTTTACAAATTCTAGAAATAAAACAAAAAAATATATGTCATAAGTGTTTTTCATTTAGAAACCCTCAAAAAAGACTTCAAACATACTTGGCTATTTTTTTCATGGCAAAAGTGACCCATGCTATGGCGTGTATTTGCGTTTTCTAAATAAAACATGCGGCCAAAGTAACCCAAATTCGTCATCTGACTTTGGCCTGAATGTGTTTAGCTCCTTCTCCATTTCAAGTTCAAAGTACTAAATACAAACCCATAAAACGCGACTGGAAACAAAAATTAATAATATTATTTGGTGTAAAACTTATCTCAGTGTAAAGTTCAAAAGTGGACCAAAGTAATCCAAGTTTACGGTACTGACAAAAATAAGGCTTTGAAAATTCCTTACAGAGTCACCTTGCTTCAAGAGCTATCAGATGACATTTTTGTTCGAAATAATAAGGTCTACGTCAGAATATGTTTAATAAAAAATATTCAGAACTTTTCGCAGCATACAAACATCGAATGAAATGTTTAGCATTCCATAAGACAAACAGAAGTTGCCATCAGTTTCTGAAAAACTGTAAGTTTGGCAACATCGGGGATATCATCAACGGATCCGCTATGGTTTCGAACCTGAACCTACCAATTCTTAAAAAAATTAGATGAGTCATTCGTCAGATATTTGATGCGTTCCAAAATTTCTTTACAGTCTGTATGTTTTCAGGATTCACATACTTTTGATTTTTATTCCACTATAAGCTTTTCTTCAATGTCGGATCGAAAATATTCTTCCTCATTATTTTTAGCATAATCCATTATCATACGGAACTATTTGAATGGTGAAGATGCATGTATAAAGTGCAAGTCATTCCACTCTACTTTCTGTTATTATTAAAATAGGTGTATGGCTATTATATGTTGCTAATCTGCATATCAGGTCAATAGAACGTCTATTGTTTTATAATAAAACTGGAATATTCAAACAAGTAATTTGTTTTTACTGTTATAGTGCCATTAGTTTAATCTTAACGGTAAATGTTCAAATCAGCGTAACAACAATCGTTAAATATTACAAAATTGGCTATGGACAAAATGCCCTGCATCGGCGGCGAATTGCTAAGCAGGATATGGTTTCTACCTGCAGCAATGAAATAACTCATGAAAAAACCCTATCCACATCCAATTTTTAATTCTATATTGTAGTATATCTCGTTATCTACTTACAGTTCTCTGCCAATAAAACAAGGATCTTCTAAGATTTCCGAGTATTAGTTTACGCAACAAGTTGAATATAATGTGTTCCTCAATGATATGCGAATATTTAAGGGGAAAAATTAATGTTAGTTTGGTTTATGAACTATGGTCCAAAAGTGCTTCCTTACAAAAACTCGGGGTATTGAAGTTTTAGGAAAAAAAATGGAAATTAATTAATATATTCGGAACCGCTTCAGATATGTCACTGATATTTGACACGTAGCGAAAGTTAATAAAGTTGCATATTTTTTAAATGCAAAAATAATTTTTAGCTTTAACAGTGACGTGCGTGCGGGTACTGACTTCGATATTCTTTAAAAAAAAATTGTACGGCAACGATTTTTTGTCAAATAAAAATTATATTTGAATTCCCCATTCAATTTAAAACAAATGATCTTTCTTGGATTGTTTTCCTTCGATGCGCCATTTTTGAGTAAAAAAATAAAAACCGTTCTATAGTCTAACTTGCAAAATTATTATTAATTTAATTGGAAAATATTAAACACATTAGGGGTAATGAACAACAACAACAACTGACAACTTGAACATAACATTAAAACCAACGAAATGATTACAAAAATTGATGAAAATGGCACCCTTCACTTAGTATGCATGATTCCGCCCTCCTTCCCATGGAATTGCGCACTCGTTGAAATATCCCTGGAGTGTTTTTTATTCTATCACAAGCTGCAAACTATTCTTTCTCTTAATTCCTCTACAGTGTTAATGGGACTTGTGTAAAATAGTGTCTTAAGATAGCCTCACAAAAAGAAATCTAAACTGTTGAGGTTTGGGGGCCTTGGTGGCCATTCTTGGGGCCCACCGCGGTCAATCCAACGATTAAACAGTTTGTAAATAATTACGAACCGCTACACTGAAATGCTCTGGTGAACCATCATGCATGTACCACATATTGCATCTTATTACTAACGGAACATCATCAAACAGCAAAGGCAACTGTTCCTGAAGAAAATTGAGGTAAATCTGTCCGTCAAGTCGTCCCGGCAAGAAGAATGGGCCAATAAAGTGGTTGCCAATAATTCCTACCCATACGTTAACCGAAAATTGGTGTTGGAAATGGGTTTCGGTTACGGCATAGGGATTTTCTTCTGCCCACAAATGATTATTGTTGAAATTCTGTATGGCATTTCAAGAAAAATTAGCTTCGTCCGTGAACAGAATCATTGATTCAAATTGCGGATTTTGTGTAATTTTTTTAAGATGCCACTAACAAAAGACCACGCGCCTTGGAAACTCAATGGGAAGTAATGACTGTAATCCACTAAAATTCTCCAAACAATTTAATGGCAAATATTTAAGTGTCTAGCGATCTTCCTGGTACTCGTTCCAGGATGTTCTTCCACTTCGTGCAGCACTGCTTCCTCAATTGCAGTTCCTTTTTGGACAGAACCAGTTTCAGCAAGACGACGATGAATATTAAAAAAGGTTCGACTATCTGGCAAGGCACGATCAAAATATCTCTGGTGATAAATCCGTCTGGCTTGCTTACCATTACCGTCGGCAAGGCCATATATCTGAATATTTCAATTCACCATTATTAACAAGATTGTAAAAACTAAATAATGAAAAGGATGTCACAGCGAACAGATTTGAATAACAGAGACTTGTCAGATCTCAAAAGCCAGTGACATATTCCAGAGCAACTGGATATCTATTGCTAAATGGCACTCTTCCATTATTACATAAATTTTCTGAGACAATAGAACGATTTTTATTTTTTTACTTAAAAATGGCGCATAGAAGGAAAACAATTCATGAGAGATCATTTGTTTTAAATTTTAATTGACATTGCCAAACCTGACTTATGTCCAAAAAGTATAATTTCCTAGGTAGGCCTTGAAATTATCATTTCACCTGTTTGGCATACCAGATTTATCCTAAAATAACTTTTGTTTTTCCGAAATTTCAATTCGACGTTTCTTCCCTCATTTTTCATCATCAACCTTATGTTCCCATATGGACACTATATTGGAATATTGAACATTTAAATTGGCCTTTTAGTCCTAAATTCAATAATGCATTTCCTTAGTTGGCTATGAATTTGTTGTTGGATGAAAATTTTGAAGACTGAAGAATTACTTCCACCCAATTTATCGTATCACTGAAGTGTTTGTGTGATATCCTAGCTTTAACAGTCAACCTGAGTAAGATTTTACAATCAAAAGCAATTGACAAACAATACGTTGTCAAACTCATGGGAAATATTATTTCAGTTGTACAACAAAGACGCGCAAATTCCGAAAAACACTTTAGAATACTACTCGCATCTATAATGAAATCACATGAAACCCTGGGTATTGAACTGACTGTGCTAAGAAAAACAAGCTGGCAAATTAACAGACCGAACATAGTTACGTCTGGCAAGGAAAATCATTACAGACTGAACCTAGATGACCCTTTGCTAGATAATATACTAAGTGACATATAAATCCGAACACCCAGTTTAAATGGTTTTATTTTAATAAAAGTTGGTGAATGTATTTATCTTACTGTAAATAACAAGTGAAAAAATTTTCAGCCTGATCAGTTGGACATTCCGGTTTTTATACTGCTTTTTTTTAATTCACTAACGCTCTAAAAATGAATATTTCAGCCGCAGTAAAGAATCAACGTTGGCGGATTTTGGTTCTTGACATCCTTTACGATGGGTTACGATTCCTAGAGTACTGAGACCTGTACGATTTCGTCAACTTAGTGAGTTTGATAGGGGCCGTATAGTGGGACTTCGGAAAGCTGGACTTTCTTTTCGGGCAATTGCAGTTAGAGTGCAAAGAAGTGTGGACACTGTGGTTAGGTATTGTCAGGCATGGCTTCGAGAAGGCCGTACGCAAAGAGCAAGGGGCACTGGACGCAGCCGTAGAACAACAGACCGTGAAGGTCGCCGCCTAAGATCATTGGCCTTAAGGGACCGTTCCTCCACTACCAGGTCCACTGCAAATGAATGGTTTGCAGAACACGGAAGACCTATTGGCATGCGAAGTGTTTACCGACGAATGAGAAGTTTTGGCTTGTTTTCATACCGGCCACACTGGGTCCTCCCTTTAACTCGAGAACACCGACATAATCGCCTTGAGTGGTGCAGACAACGGTCAGTCTGGGATCAGGAATGGAACAGTATTGTCTTTAGTGACGAGTCTCGATTTTGTTTAGGCATCCACGATGGTCGTGCCAGGGTTAGAAGGCGACGTGGTGAAAGGAGGAATCCACAGTTTTTTGTTGAAAGACATGTTCATCACACTGTTGGAGTTCTGGTTTGGGGTGCTATAGCTTATGGTTCCAGGTCACCTTTAATCTTCATCAGAGGTAACATGAACGCGCAGCGTTATATCCACGAAGTTTTAGAACCCCATCTTTTACCCTATCTTGACACCCTGGCAGATCCAACTTTCCAACATGATAATGCCCGACCACATGTTGCAAGAGTCACAATAGACTTCTTTCAACATAATGATGTCACATTGTTACCATGGCCACCAAGATCTCCCGAATTATCCCCAATTGAGCACGTGTGGGATATGATGGTTAGGAGATTGCTCAATTTGCAACGTCCTCCTCAGACTCTAGAAGCACTTCGAGAGAAGTTGGTGGTTGCCTGGAATGAGATACCACAGGATGACATTGACCACCTGATCAGAAGCATGCCTAGGCGCGTTGGAGAATGCATAGCACATCAGGGTGCATCCACACATTATTAAAGGTCAAAGGGCTTTAAAGCAGTGCAATCATTTTGAAATTTTTATCATTTACTTATTATGCTTCATTAAGTACTTATACAAAATTTTATTAAAATAAAACCATTTAAACTGGGTGTTCGGATTTATATGTCACTTAGTATATATTACAGGATTTAGTATACCGGTTCAATGAAGAATCTTTGAATATATACAATTTTAATATTTTCTTTGCGTCAGTATTTACTTCAAAAACTGAAGCTGAAGTAATGGTCATATTAGAAACAATCACTAAATATTTGCATGGACTAAATTATAACGAAAACAATTATTTAATAAGTACCAGATTAAAAGCACGTAGACAAGATATTATAGACAGTGGAACGTAGCTGTATATATCTAATGATGAAAACATTTTCTCAAATCTATCTTCCTTCTGATGGCCAATAAATAAAAAAACAGATTTAGTTAAGGGTTTACTTACGTTTAAACCAAAACGGTGATCGTTTCCAAAGTATCCAATAAAGATATGTGGTTTTATTTATTGGCCAGCAGATTGATATAAAAGTCTGTTCAAATTTTGTTCAAATCACTTTCTAAGCTAATGTAATGATTGTTTTATTTTGAGACTATGAACTGATGTAGTTTCATAGTTTATATGTTGTTTTTTAGACTGGCTAAGAGAATGTAATTATGCAATGAATATTTTTTGTGTTTTGCTCATGATTAAGAATTTTATTTTGATTTACATTCAATTTATACTTTATAGAGGTCGTAACATATCTGTTATTGTTATTATTTTCATGAAGATGTATTTTTTGTTGTTATGTCTAACATTGTGTAGAAAAGTATGTGTATATGAAGATTGCTCGAGCTTGGTTTGCTTTATTTACACTTTGATTTCGTATGATTCAAAATTAAAAATAGTTGTATGTATTTTCTACACAAATTACTCTAACAAATTCATATGTCTGCATATGTCCATGCTTCTAATGTTAAATTATTATAACACTTCAGTATGTCACACTGAGGATTTACTTTCCATTTTACCCGTCCCAGACTGAAATTCTGGGAGCGCCACTGATGAACTGTCATGTTCTGGACTTCTTGACTTGCCTGGTCTTTGCTCAGTTTAATAACAGCAACCCGGACATAGTATACTTCCGTGCGATAGCTTTGGAGCCATAGAAATACAAAAAAGAACGCACCACAAGGTACTCAAAGATTATTGGAAATTCACACATAGCTTTATAGTCGTCCAGGATATGCTTTTAAATGTCAAGCCCAGTTTGCAACAGCTGTTTCTATAGAATCATTCAAGGAAGAACAACAAATTTACGACTTCAAAATATCTAATCATGCTTATGAAAAGATAAATAATGAGATATTATTTAAATGTTGTGAAAAAGTCTATTTATTTGTATCAGCTTAATATTTTTGAAGTCCGAGATAAGAGGAATGTACAGCTAAAAATTTAAAGCCAAAGAACAACAAATTTGATTACGTTATTACTCTGGCCTAAAGCTATGTGACACAATGTGATCAGTGGTCTTATGAAGAGATCAGAAAAATACCATCAGAGCTTTCCGCCAGATGATAAAGAAGCTTCAGCAACAAAATTCATTGAAGATGAATAAATGAAAATATTTTAAGTTTGTATCAAAAGTTGAAATATGTATTAGTTTATTTCATTCGTAACTTAACAAAAAAAATATAGTTTTAACGTCCAGGTTTGTTTAATTTCAATTTTGTCTCTTAAAAAATCAAAATACTGCGCATAAACCAGTCCACTCCGTTAATCTTTCCCTCATAGCTCATTTATTTTCTGATTTCCAGTTTGGTATATTTATAAGGTAATGCAACAAAATTATCTGCAATTGGCAACAAATTTGGAAATTTTCAGTAATTAAAAAATGTACAACAAGAACGTTTTTTATGTTTCCCCTTAACCCTTTCTCATGTGACTTGACTGGTTTATGCATTGGCTCAATGGCATTATTCCATCAGGACAACTTAGATTTTTTTGAAGCTATAATATTTTGTCATAAGTTGAAAAAAAGGTACTTACCAAGCACACCACGAGCAAAATAAGAACTTTCGCAAACATGTCGCGAACTTACTTATTTTTCTCAACCTTTGCGATTAGACTGACTGCAAAATATATCCAGCTGTATTATTAATACGGGATATAAAGATTAGGATTAATAAATTTACCTTTTGATAATGAACTTCATCAACAAGCTATATTTGTGGTGATCCCAGTCATGCTAGATAGTTTACAACAGGCGGAGGCGGGAGTTAAAATAATCCAGTGTCTACAGGACATTTACCAACTCCGTATATTTGCATTGAGTGTGCCAAGAGAGTTTTAAGACCATGAAATCTTCCATCGTTCTATACGAAGGCAAATCGAAAAAGCGTGTTTAGCCAGCCGATACTACAACTACAGCAAAAAAAAAATATAATTTAATATAAAATTTCAATTAGGTCAGTTATAAAGTTTAAACAACTATGGGTTTAATTATTTGGTTCAATCAAGCCAAAACGCAATCGTTTAATTAAATTTAGTAAACAGTTTACCTGGAATGAGTACATTCATTTATTTAAAATCGATGAACCATAGTAATGAGTTTGTCTCGTCCAAGTAAAGCATTTTGATTATATTTATAAAATTGTTTAATTAGTTAAGGTACATATTGTCCTGGTCTTAGTAAATGATTTTGCTCAGATTTAAATGTATTTTTGAATAATATTTGGAATTTAAAGGAACACATTGCATTCTACTGAATGATGTATACAGTTTGTAAACGTTGTGATAGTCATTATTTAAATGGATGGTAGAGGAGGTTAAAAGAAGCAAAAAGTTTCATATAACATGGGGGTCAAAACGGCATCTTTTAGAGAAAAGCGACTTTAAAGTAAACTAAAATCTGACAACGCCGCAATGCCAGACGCAAATTACGACAGAAAGCAGTGTAAACAAAAATTGAATTTGCTATTTTTGGCTGTCAAAATTCTTTCGCGAAGTGTTGTGCTTCAGTTGTTATTGGACCAGCCCCATAAACCATCCCTTTAAGTTCTCCCCAATACCAGAAATCCCTCGGATTGAGGTCAGGACATCTTGCTGGCCATTTTTGAGGATCAGGAGCATTTCGACCGATCCAGCTATTTGGATAATGTTCATTCAAATACTGAATGACGTCTCTAAAAATGTGTGGTGGTGCCCCGTCATGAAGAAACTACAAATTCTGTCTGCGTTGTAATGGCATGTTGTCTAAGGTCTGTTCCAAAAGTTCTGGTAGGTTATTGGCTAGAAAGCTAAGGTATCCTTCTCCTGACAACTTAGGGGGTAACTCGAAAGGGCCAGTTACCTGATCGTCAAGAATACTCGAACAAATATTTATTTTAAAACGTTGTTGGAAATGACCTTCACGAATGGTACGAGCATTTTCTGGGGCCCACGTGTGAGTATTATGGAAATTCAGTATCCCGTCTCGCGTAAAAGTACGTATACATTCGTCCGTCGCTAGAATGTTTTTAAAAAAATCCGGATTTTCAATATTTTTGTGCAGAAACCACTGACAGAGTGTTAGTCTGCGATGATACTATTCTTGTAACAGGGTCTGCACTGGTTGTACGTAGTAGGGATAAAACAAATTTTCTTGTAGGATTCTAGCCATTTTATACTGCAATGTGTAGGTTGGCTCTTCTTTGTGGACTTCGTGCGTCTTTTTTTTCCTCTCCATCTTCATTTCCTCAGGTTACACCCGTATCCGGATGTATGGGCATGTATATCTACTGTTGCAGTTGCATATTATGTGCATTCATTTCGGGCCTGATGAAGCCAACCAGCAGAAATACGTATCGCTCGGGTTACCTATCCTATTCTGCTCGAATCCACTTTTTGCGGATTTTTACCATTATTTTCCTATTTTTGTTTTTACCTTTCTCCGCATGATAATTTTCTCTTTGTAGATCCTTTGGGCTTGAAGTACCACAGCAAGTGGCTATAACCGCCCGCGTGTTGTAGTTATTTGTCGCCTTGAAAATTCGAGGTCCTCTACCCATTTTATACTACAACGTGTAGGTTGGCTCTTGTTTGTGGACTTCGTGTGTCTTTTTTTTCCTCTCCATCTTCGTTTCCTCAGGTTACACCCCTATCCGGATGTATGGGCATGTGTATCTACTTTTGTAGTTGCATATGTGCATTCATTTCGGGCCTGATGAAGCCAACCAGCAGAAATACGTATCGCTCGGGTTACCTATCCTATTCTGCTCGAATCCACTTTTTCCGGATTTTGCCCATTATCTTCCTATTTTTGTTATATACCTTTCTCCGCATGATAATTTTCTCTTTATATATATATTTTTTCTTATAGAAGCGTTTATCGGAATGTGGAATTGAATATGTGACGTTTCGTTTAAACAAATTGACAGAACATGACACTATTCCTCAGTTGAATATTCCATAGCTTCTAAGCTTTCATTTAACTTGAGCTGTTTGTTAGTATGTATGTACGAGGGTTGTCTCAAAAATAAGGTACCAACATTTTTGTCAGGCACAAGGAATGTCTTGTTTCATAAAACGAATTTACGATTTGAAATGTCCACCTATAAGCTATTCAGCACTTTTTCACTCCTGCCTCAAGGAAGCCGGGGGCCGGTACTAAGGTTAGTAAGGGCAACAATGGATAGCGACCAAGACAGAGTCCGAGATTTTGCTGTATGCATCGGGAACTTGGTGTCAGCTTGTCTTCATTTCGTTACAGCTGACTAAACAATAACGAGTGAAATTTTTTGCCCCGTAACATTCTCAAGAGAATTTCAACGCTACTATGGTACTAACATCTGTTCACATTTTTCTTTATAGAATTTCTCGGGCCGAGACAATTGCTGGACAGGACAAGTCTCATGGCTTTTAGTCACCCGCATGCCAATCATCTGGAACCACTGGTAGTTTTCTTCGGTAGTGCATATTTTGCTCGCGACTTGAGGCGCTGTCGAATATTTTACACCATTTATAATGTGACAACTGGATCCTGCATCAATCGGATCGGGGATTTCCAATTTTTACGTCTGTACCAGGTTGCGGGAGAGCTATAGCACTTGTGCAAAGAGAAAGAGAAGGAGAAATCTTACTGCCCTAGCGTCAAATATAAAATATATAAGCAATACTGATACAGTTTGCGTCAGTGGGACACGAAAACCGAGTGGGAGCTCCACCTGTCACCGTACTGATAATGGTTCATGTGTTCGGTGTCCCTCAAATTTCACTTCTAAAAGTAACGCAAAGTGTGAAGCCTTTATATCCTGGTGAACCAGGACCGCGCTCCCACTAATTATGAAGCTTACCCTGGTGGTCGTCCCTGGAAAGCTGTCATTCCGACCAGCTCTACAATCCATCATATGATTGTGGCTCAGATTACGGAAAGAATTCTGTCGGGAAGAAATATATGTATGTTTTTCTACCTTCATCACCAGTTTGATAAGAGATTAAGCTATAATTGCTTGATTTGCTATAAGTCAGCTATCAGCCTTTTACCCAAAACGCTCCTAACGATGCTGGCATAAGATGGTTTTTGAAGGGTGTATACCTACAGGTAGTGACCATCTCAACCGGAATATAATCCCACTTGAGATACTGTGGTTGTTCTCAAGCAACTGGAGGGGCTGGTGGTGACCTCTCTAGATATTCGTATGAGGAAATGAGCAACCCTGTTAGACCCAACGTCAGGACAGAGTGTGGAAACTCTGCCCTTAGTTGAAACAGACAACATCCGGATTGGCATTTTATCGTTGTGCCTCTGTTCCCACTATATCTAGATATTCAAGATGGATGATGCCTGTTTCAGCAGAGAGTCGTCCAAGTGTGTCACAATTGACAGCACACGCGTCTACCTCTGCGCCGGCTAGATTACAGTAGGCGGAGGCTAGCGGCGGCAGGAGCGCGTCTCCTGAGACACCTCACGAATTTCTTATGCCAAACAATGACTCTGCTCAAGTGGCATTTGAGGTAAACCAAGTCTCCACACCTTAAACACATCGATGTTATTACGTTCTTTGCTTGTTGCCATGTAACATATGGTATTTTTATCTTTGAACCTATGAACATCGTATTACTTGTTGAAAGCCCTAACTTCAGATGTTACCATGGAAATGTGAATTTAATTGACACATTCATTGTGTACAATTTGTGTAGTTGTGTACAACCTGTCCTTTACTATTGCAACTCGCTTTAAACATCTACACCTGTTCTATTTACGAGACGACGCCGGAACATAATTGCATGATCAAACGGGATTACCTGTAAGTGACGTTCGATCAATTATGTGAAGGCCTCGTCGAAGTAAATAGCTCCCTCCCTCCCTATATACCACCCAACTTGGCTTTGAAGAAAATGAGAGTTTGTAGAGCAGGGACCTGAGAGGAGGAAGGGGGATAGCGCGGTGAGCCGCTTTTCTTCGCTGCATGCGTGCTTTGAACGTGGTACTACACCTGTTCTATTTACTACGATGAGGTGTGACCATTACAGACAGCAGCGGTGGCCGCAGTTGTAGACTCTTCGGTCTCCTGATCAGTCGCCGTGCGCTGTGGGGGTTCGAATCCCGTCCCAGGAGAAATTTTTCTCTTGGCTATGGATGTTGTGATTGTTCGTAGGTGGTAGACGGTCTCTGACTGTCGAACGCGGAGGTACCACCTGGCGGATCTCGTAGGCGGAGCCAGAATGTGTGCATGTACGTATAGGATGCACACGTGTTCCCTCGCCAGAGTCCGTGTGGCGTTTCCCCTTTCCCCTGTATCCCCCTACAGCCCCACGGTACCCAATGGGTGTTTAGACCTTAGGCGTTCGTGGTAGTTGGAGTATAAAAAAATGCAGCTAAAAGTTTATTTGTCCATGACGGAAGCTTACGGGTATGTTTGACCTTCTCACTTATATGTTGATAGAACATGCAGCTTAGTGTAGAGAAATTCTCCAGGAGGCCCCGTAATTTTTTGATGATTCAGTATTAGAATTATAAATATGTGTGCTATACCTATATGACTACTTGTTTACCGTGCAATAAAAAATCATAAAAAATAATTCGTAACTCGTCTGCAAATACATTGTTAATATTTCGACTCGGAGACGAGTTCCATTTAGTTTCTCCACCTTTTACGTAGGGAAGCTTTGAATGTAATTACGGTATCTACAGGGTGTTTCAGTTTATTGTTGCATAACTTTAAGATTCGATAGAACTTTTAAAATTAATGCATAAAGCCTATATAAACATGGGTCGAAAACTTCGTGGCTTCCGAAATACAGGGTGTTTGAATTTACTTTCTAAAATAGTTTTTTTTTAATATTTCGAACAATATTTGATGTATAACAGTGGAAATTGGTATACAAGGGTTTTTTGGTACGACAAAACGAACCATGGACATAGTCTTACTGTAGCCGCCAGA